GGGAGGCTGAGGCAGGAGAATGGTGCAAACCCAGGAGGCGGAGCTTGCAGTGAGCTGAGATCCAGCCACTGCACTCCAGCCTGGGCGACACAGAGAGACTCCGTCTCAAAAAAAACAAAAACAAAACAAAACAAAAAAAAACATGTCATAACAATAAACTATTTATTATGGACAGTTGTCTGTTTTCAGACATTGTGGCTACCCCAAACCACTTTAAGTGAAAAGACATGATCATTTAGTTTAACCCTGTTTAAAAGGGTACACTGCTCTGTAATGTATTTTCTGTGGAAATCTTTCCTAGTTGGTCCATTGTTCTGATGATTAAACATCTGTTGCACTAGAAACAGAATATAAGCCGACAGTGCACTAGAGGATACTCATGACCATATTTCATCATTTTGTGATTCAATGACATTAAAGGGAGTAAAGTAGAAAATATAATAGGTATAAATGTGTAATTATAAGGACGAGGAGGGAAGTTCTTGTTGGAATAAATTGGCTTCCAGGGCCCTCGTGTCGACTTCGCTCCTTGTGAGGAAAGTCGTGTGATGCTTTCACCCTGAGGGATGATCTGAGAGACTTCACCAGGGACACGTGCTTGACAGATGCTCTGAAAGCAGACTTTAACCAGCCAACCACAGCAGCGAGAAATACAGTCTCAACAAAGTGCACCCTTTAGAAAGTGCTGGGCATATAAGTAGTGAGGGCTTTCGTTATTCTAATACACATGTTGACTAAATGGGCACTGTCTTCAATTCAGATGATAAGATGCCTCTTCCCAGTAGTTTGAATGGGCTGTGTATCTATCTCAAGCATACATTCAGTGAGAAATTCTGTAAGATTCCAAGATATTTCAAGAATCACATCCTTTTTTAACCCTTTACTGAATATAAAATGAAGCCTGACCTCCTGAGTCTTGGAAAATGTGCATTTCTTAGAACTATTTAAAAAATGAATCCTACGACTGGGCATGGTGGCTCACGCCTGTAATCCCAGCACTTTGGAAGGCCAAGCGGGGAGGATCACTTGAGGTCAGGAGTTCAAGATCAGCCTGGCCAACATGGTAAAACCCCGTCTCTACTAAAAATACAAAAATTAGCCAGGCATGGTGGCGGGCGCCTGTAGTCCCAGCTACTTGGGAGGCTGAGGCAGGAGAATTGCTTGAACCTGGGAGGTGGAGGTTGCAGTGAGCTGAGATCGCATCACTGCACTCCAGTTCGGGTGACAGAGCGAGGCTCGGTCTCAAAAAAAAAAAAGGAATCCTTCTAAGTAATTCATCAGCTTAAGCCGTGCTGGCTGAACATTAAGACTTTGTCAAATCCTAAGGAACAAAATAATATCAAAATTACGATGAATTATTTTGCCATAGAATAAAATATAAATATTACCATACATTTGACTCATTTGTTTGAAAATCTTTATATGATTGTTGCTTCATTTTAAAAACCAGACCTCACAAACCTGACCCAAGTTATGTGCAAAATAACGTGTCAGTTGCACAGCCCCTGGAGGCCAGTGAGCCCACATGCCTCTGCTGGTGTAATTTCTAGAGTCCGTTTGCTGTGGGCCTTTATCATGTTTCCAAAATAAGGAAGTCACCCAATGACATTTTAAAATATAACATTGATACCGTTTGACTAGAAAATAACTAAAATTGGGTAAAGAGGATATTTCACTCTCATTGGAGGATGCAGCATTTTATTCAGGTTTAAAATTTGTGATTCATCCAGGTGTGGTGGCTCAAGCCTATGATCCCAGCACTTTGAGAGGCCGAGGTGGGCAGATATCTCAAGGTCAGGAGTTCAAGGCAAGCCTGGCCAACGTGGCGACACCCTCTCTAGGCTAAAATTACAAAAATTAGCTGGTGCATTGACACGCGCCTGTAATCCCAGCTACTCAGGAGGCTGAGGCAGGAGAATGGCTTGAATCTGGGAGGCAGAGATTGTGATGAGCCAAGATGGTGCCACCGCACTCCAGCCTGAGTAACAGAGTGAGATCCCATGTAAAACAGAAAAAAGAAAAAAAAAATTGTGATTCTCTAAACTGTGGGTCAGGGAACTGCAGAGAACATAGAATCTGCAGTGCTGTTAGGAAAGAATGGCATTGCAAAACAGCAACAATTCCTGAGCTTCTTCCCTGGCAGAGTCCATTTTAGCGACAATGTTGACAATGACCCAAAGTCTCTGGGTTTTCCGGCGGAGGGCACAGCTGATGTCATCCCTCCTGTGCTGGCCGTTTTCTAAGTGAGTTCAGATCCTCTAGGCAGGAAGAACGGACACTCTGCGATCTCTGCGGGAGGTCTTTGCTTTGCAGCGGCAGGTCTCTGTGTGCAGCGTTGTGGAAGAAGTCTGTGGGGGCCAAGCCTCCCAGGGAGATTTACAGGCTCCAGGGACTGGAGGTTTGGACCCTATCTCCGCCTCTCCCATTACAACACGTGTTTCTAGCATCTGGGGAGTGCCTGAATGAGGGGACATGCCTCCAAGTTGTCCTCAGGAGATTCCGAGTTGTTCGTGGATGTCGGATGTGCGGTGTCCATGGGAGTGTCTGGGATTTTGGTGTCTTGTGCGTCCAGCAGCGTTGGCACCTCCAAGCTGAGGGAAGTGGGGTCCCTGCCTCCACCTGCCCGCATGTGGGGTCTCCCTAGAAGGAAGCCTTTGGTAGGTGGGTGGGAAGATTAAGGTGCTCGAATGCGTACTGCGAGGAGGTGCAGAGGCACCAGGCTCTAGCAGCCTCCTGCCTCCAGGAGAGGCCCAGGTCGAGATCACTGCGGCGACCAACACCTCGGATCACTCGAGGGCTAGAAGGCACCCACCAGCTGTGTCGACAGGAGTGCGCAGGGGCCTTGCACATTGGGCATATTGTGGCGTCAGTTTCGGAATCAGCCTGCGTGGAGTCGGTCCAGGACACCCAGCCAGGATTCCGTCGTCGGGGAAAGGAACGCCCACGTGGCTTGGATGAAGGACACTCCAGGGGATGCAAAGGCTCTGGTTGCTGGGAGGAGCTGAGGGATGACAGATACCCCAAGGATTCTGCGGAGGTGGTCGTGTTTGGTGATAGGGTGCTCGCAGGTGGCTCCTGTGAAGGCTGCTTCAGGGGACACAAAGGCTCTGGTGACTTGGAGGAGCTCAGGGATGACAGAGACTCAAAGGACCCTACAGAGGTCTTCGGGACTGATGACGGCGCGGAGGCCAGAGGAGCCGGGGGAGCCCGTGGGGACACATGGAAGCTGGTGGGAGAAGCTTTCCCACGCCCCCCACGTGGCCGGTGGTTCCTCACAGATGTTCGTTTGTACACTGACCCCGAGCGGGCTTGGCGTGGAACGTGCTGGGAGCTGCCCTCAACAAGGAGCTTCCTCAGGCACCTGCAGCAGACGGGAGGCACAGGCTGCAGCTGGGAGCACTGGGCACCTGCGGCCCACGCCTCTCCAGGACCCCCCATGCTGACTTCACAAAGCTCTGCCTACCCCTGCCCCAGGGCTTTAGTGACATCCTGGCTGTGATCTCCCCTCCCAGATCAGCCCCAGGCCCTGGGCTGGCATCCTAGGTCCTGGTAGGAAGGAGAACACGGGAGAGAAGGGGAAAGAGCCTCACTTTTTCGACAGGAAAGTGTAGAACTCAAGGTTCTCCAGTTCTTTCAAGAGACTTCTGCAAGCTGGAAAGCAGGAGATGGGTTATGGTGGTGAGGGAGGGAACCAGGACTTACAGGAGGCTCAGTGCATGTGCCCTTAGGGGAGACCCTGGGATCGGGGATCAGACCCTGGAGCCCCAGCATCCCTGTCCAAGGCCACAGGGCCCCAAGAGTGAGAGCCAGGTGCCCGGGGGCCAGCACTTTGTCATTTACAAAGTGTTTCCCGACACGCCACCTCCTGGGGAGAGAGGACGGGGCACTCTCAAAGAGGACTCAGCCATGTTAAACAGCTGCCCACATAGACCTGCATCCCCTTCCTGCACGTCCAGGTGGTCACTGGTCCCCTCCCCCACACAGTCCCCTCCTGGGCAACACCCGCTCCCTGGACCCAAGGCTTCATCCCAGCAGGGAACGGGAGGCATATCCCAGGTTCCAATCGCCTTACCAGGAGCTTCCCCACCAGGCCTCTGCAAATGACTTCCTAGGAGACTTGGTGCTTATTCCTAGGAACAGGTGAAACTGTCATCTCTGGGGCTTCTGGGACCCTCAGAGCCTTACCTTTCCAGGTGACGTATTTATTTCCGATCCTGAGCCATTTCCCCACTTCAGCTTTAGCCTGAGAGACAAGACAGAGTGAGGGCGCAGGCCGGGTCTCAGTCTCCTGTCCCCACAGCTGCAGACTCACAGTGCTCACGAATGACACACTTTCTCCGCCCAGCTCACAGAGGCCTGTGTGCTTCTCTTTCCTTTCACTCGATTCTAAACTGCATAATAACCTGTTCTGGTTTCCTTCTTCGAAAAGCACGCAGGGGTTTTCTACGTGAGGCCCGCCCTGGGCGTCCTCCGCCCTGTTCCGCTGCTTGGGAACCACACACACTTGCGTCCGCAGGAGCCTCTGAGCTGGCAGGGGAGGATTCGGCTTCCGAGGAGGCCAGAGGCAAGTCCAGGCTCACGTGGGGGCTCTCAGGGGCTCAGCACAGCGGCCAGAGCACCCCACACAGAGGCTGGGCCCCGAGGCACCTGCCTGGGAAGGCGGCTGATGAGCCCGGGCTCAGGGCCTGTCCTCCCACAGAGACCTCACCCCTCTCATGACCGGGTCCTTGCTGCTGAGTCCCAGGGTTTGTTTTTGCTCTGACGCCTCCCGTGCACCCCACAGATGGTCTGGGAGCTTGGGATGGAAATCCTATGCCCACTCCAACCCCTGCCTGCCCTGCTGTCCCTAGAGGGATGATGAGACTTCCCATCACAGGAGCGCCTCTGCTTGATTTGGAAAAGTGGAAGAGAGAGCAGGAAAAATAGAATCATTCTCTGCTGGGTGTGGGCTGAGGGCTCCTTACATTCTCGCTGTTCTCCTCTCTGGGAGGCACTGAGGACGGCTCCCTGGGAAAGTAGGGGCTTAAGATGATGAGGAACACCAGGCTAAACCCAACGAAGAGGATGAGATGGATGATCTGGGGAACGGGGCTGGGGCACAGCTCTGTATCAATAACACTCAGAGGAAAGAGAATATCCATGTCAGCCGCACTGCTGTCCTCCGGCTACTGAGCCCTGGGCATCCCCTCTGGGAGTATTTATTGGGGCCCAGGCCCACATCACAGAGCTGGGGCCTCTTCCTCACAAAGGGCTCCTGGGGGCAGGGGAGGGGCAGTGGGAGGAGGAGGCTAAATCCCAGCCCTGCCCACCACCACCCACCCCTGCAGTTCCCTTCACCCTCCTGGCCTTCTCAATGTTTCTCAGGGTTTCTCAATGTTGGTCAGGCTGGTCTCAAACTCCTGACCACAAGTGATCCTCCCACCTCGGCCTCCCAAAGTGCTGGGATTACAGGCATGAGCCACCATGCCTGGCCATTTTTTTAGTTCTTTTAACATACAGTAACTGCTTTGAAGTCTTTGTTTGCTAAGTGTGACATCTAGGGACACGAAGACAGTTTCTATTGACTGGTTCCCCGCACACTTTCCTGTTTCTTTTTGTCTTGTAACTTATCATTGAACACTGAATGCTTTAGGTTATAGACTGTTCTACGCTGGATTCTGATTCTTTTCTCCTGAGAATTGTTGTTACTGTTTTGTTCATTTGTTTGTAACCTGCCTGTACTAAATTTGTAAATTCGGTCAGCAGTGTGTAGCCACAGCCGCCTCTGCTCATTTTTTGTTTGTTTCTGTTCTTATGCATGGCTTCCGAGGAACCGCTCCTTTATCTGCATGCATGGTATTCCGCCAACAGTTGTGTGAATTTGTGCACTAACACCTTGAGTCGGTGAGGCTTCCATTGCTGCTGATGGATCTCCCCGTGGACTGGGGCGTGCACACAGAGCTCAGGCCATCTGCTTTCCACAGGCATCTCCCCTCGCCGTGTCTTCTCTTCACATACGCTCAGGCACCGTCATCAGTCAGGGATGCTGGGTGGTTCGGGCAGGTTCTGGTCTCTGGGGAGGCAAGCAGAGCTACTGGTCCTTCCTGTTTGTTTGCATCAATATCCCTGTTTGAAAATTCTCCAAATCATGTGAGGCCCTCTGGTGGTGACAGCAAAGCTGCTGGTTTCGGGGCGTTCAACAAATGTGTTTTATATTTAGGTCTATGAGCCCGGAGTGGTGGCTCAGGCCTGTAATCCCAGCACTTTGGGAGACTGAGGTGGGCGGATCACCTGAAGTCAGGAGTTCAAGACCAGCCTGGCCAGCATGGTGAAGCCCCATCTCTACTAAAAACACAAAAATTAGCTGGGTGTGGTGGCGCACGTCTGTAATCCCAGCTACTCGGGGGGCTGAGGCAGGAGAGTCACTTGAACCCGGGAGGTGGAGGTTGCAGTGAGCTGAGATTGCACACAATAAATTAACGATTTAATGCCCATATAATGGAGTGCTGTGAAGCTCTTAAAAAGAATGCCATGAGGATGATCAACAAATACTGTTCTCCTGGATGAGGATTATTACCATCAGCTCCATTTTTCAGATGAGAAAACTGAGACTTAGAGAGGTTACATAATTTTCCGAAGGTCACTCCCTACTGAATGTAGGAGTGGGGATCTGACAGCCACCTAATCACACGCAAGAACAGCATTCTCTCCTCCGCTCTCCTCCATGGCCCCCTGTGACTCCCAGGAGACCTGGCCAGCTGCAGTGGCCCCCGTGGACCAGCAGAGGGACAAGAGAGGAGCTGACGTGGAGGAGCCGAGGCCCACTGGGGGCTCCGGGAGAGTCCGTCCGCCTGTGGACAGCAGCTCAGGGCTTCAGCTGCTTCCGGAGAGGAAACACCGCTCCCTAGACTGAGGCATCGTTTTGGTTAAAAAAAAAAAAAAAAAAAAGTTGTTTTCATCTTCGTGTAAATTTTTGTTTGTAACAATATGTTAGTTGTGACAGTTACCACTATTTGTTTTTTTTTTTGAAATTACTTTTAGAGATGGGCTTTCGCTCTGTTGCCCAGGCTGGTCTCAGACTCCTGGCCTCAGTGGTCCTCCCACCTTGGCCTCCCAAAGTGCTGGGACTACAGGTGTGAGCCGTGGCAGCTGGCCTGTTTTCCTTTATTACTACAGCTATTATATGGAGCCTTAAAGTCTCCTGGAGTGAGAGCTAGTTCATAACCACGCTGTTTGGAGAGAAGAGAACTATCTGGAATTCTTGTTCTCCAAAGATGTGGAATTATCATCCCAACAACAGCCGTCCCTTGCTCTGTCCTGAGGACCCTCAGGTGTGGCCCATCCACCCCCTAAGTGTTTCCCTCTGTCCTGAGGACGCTCAGGTGTGGCCCATCCACCCCCTCAGCGTTTCCCACTGTCCTGAGGACCCTCAGGTGTGGCCCATCCACCCCCTCAGTGTTTCCCTCTGTTTTGGAGGTCCTCAGGTGTGGTCCATCCTATTAGTGCTTTCCTTGTACTGGGGATGCTCAGGTGTGATCCATGCATCTTGTTAGTGTTTTACGTCTTTCCTAGAGACCCTCAGGTGCCATCCATCATCCCATTAGTGTTTACCTCGGTCCTGGAGACCCTCAGGTGTGGTCAATCCATCCCATTGGTGTTTTTCCGTTATCCTCGAGACTCAGGTGTGGTCTATCCATCCCATTAGTGTTTACATCGATCCTGGGAACCCTCAGGTGTGGTCCATCCATTTCCTTAGTGTTTACCTCTGCCTTGGGACCCTCAGATGTGGTCGATCCCCAAAGTGTTTTATCTCTGTTCTGGGGACTCTCCGTTGTGGTTCATCCATCCTCTTAGTGTTTACCTCTGTCCTGGTGACCCTGAGGTGTGGCCCATCCCCTTAGTGTTTACCTTTGTCCTGGGGGCCCTCAGATGTGGCCCATCCATCCCCTTAGTGTTTTACCTCCATCCTCGAGACCCTCAGGTGTGTCTATTAATTCCTTTAGTGTTTACCTCATGCTGGGGACTCTCAGGTTTGGTCTATCCCAGTAGTTTTTATGTGTGTCCCGGGAACTCTCAGGTGTGGCCCATCCACCCACTCAGTGTTTCCCTCTGTCCTGGGGACCCTCAGGTGTGG